ACCAACCTCACTACTCCAATTACAATAATACCACTTTTTGCTTTCCCACCACCCGATTTCCCAACCAGTAATGTAACATCAGGCATGAATTCCGATACTAATTCACACATCTCAGTTTTATACTCCACATCACAACTCAATAACCCGAATATTGAAACCCCCGATGAATTTGCCGACTCTGAACCATCTCCATCCAATAATTTTCACACAAACCCCTCAATTTTTTCCCAATCCCCTTTTCAACCAATGATACCAAATAACCCTGTCCCCACCAATTCTACACCCTCTTATGCTTCCCAAGTCACTCCAACCTATTCTTCATATCATTCAGACCGATCATCCAATTCTCCAGATACCCCCCAAATCTCCCCAGAACTAGATAATTTTATTACATTACAACAACAACCCTACCACCTTGACACCCCCACCATAAACCAAATTTCATCCACAATAGATTCATCCAAACCCCCTACCCCTACATCCTCTTCAATTTATACCGAATCATTAGCACCATCATCCACATCTACTGAATCTTCACTCAGCACTAATAGAGCTTACCGCACTTTTAAAAGAAAGTTCCCCAATCATCCTTTCCCAGCAAAACCAGGAACAGCCCGTGAATATATAAATCACCCAAATCACACTAATACAAAAGAATTTTTAGCTATCACCTTACCCTCATTTCCACAATACACCTTAAACACCCCTCACAACACTAACGAAACACGTAACTTTGTAGACGAACACGTTTTAATGCCTACCCTTCCTTGGACCTCATATTATCATTTTACTAATCCCCTTTGCTTACCTTTATCTAACACTCACATCGATATAGAACGAAATAAGGACATGCTATATCGACTCACTACACCACTAACACCTAGACAATTTACTTACATAGGATATAAAAAATCACTAAAAACAAACACTGCACCCCGAGCTAACGAATATACGCTAGAATATTACGATCATAACATCATCAGAACTAACCAAGATCAATTCTTAGACGACGATCGCTTCGCTAACCCACAAATCACAGAAAAATTTTTCATTAAAACACCATATGTATTTACACTCAATATATTTGATCGCAAATTTGACCACATCATCTCAGAAGCACTAACAGACACGCAAGCCTACGAAAGTTTTAAAGAACGCTTCCAAATATTTTCACTAACCTTTCATTTCCTTGCACCACATGAAAGAGATCTGCACTGCTCACACGATATTATGTTGCGCACTAAACAAACTCACACATATACATATTATCGTTTTATCCAAAATCACTTCGACCTACACACTCTCTCCAGACAACCACACCACCGTTTTCAATTCATCAATTCCAAATACACCTCACCATTCTTTCTTAACTTCACATATTGCATTAAAGATACTAACCTTCATGGTATTCTTCGAAATTATGATCCCATAACCCAAATGTATATTTTTTGTCCCATCACCAAGAACTTCAACGCAGAAGAATCCCGACCCTTCCTTCTCCCACACGAATTTGTTCAACCCATAGAAATCCCCATTTTAGAATTCATCCACAACACTAAATTCAATCACAAATTATATAATCTAATCCAAAACACACCTTATGAGTTTGCAGTTGGCACTGAAGAACTAACCACCATTAAAGCACTTCAATTGCTTTGGCCACTGCTTCAAACTAAAAATATCATCCGCATCTTAGCTAAATTACTAACAACTTCAGATCTCATCCACGACATCTTCCCCCACGGTTTCTTCCCCGACGACTAATAGGTAAATATGAATTATACATATTAACTAATTAAATTAAAATTAGAAACTAACCATTCTTAATTCATGTCTTCTTTAGAATTTTAGCCTTCATCCAACGATCATCTGAAAAATTCACAAAAGAAAATAAAAATTGAAAACTTCTTCAAACTATTTAAAACTCTATTAATTTTTTGCACCAAACAAATCACTAAAAATAATACCAATGCAGTAATTTAATTTATAAATTTTTTCCCAAATGCAGTAAATCTAATAATGATGAAAATTTGTAACTTAATTTTCCCCAACAACTAGCAGTAAATTTGCATTTCTATGTAATAAATTGATAAAACGAAAATGCAGTACTAACCTTTTGATATTTCCTTTCATTCGCACAAAGATTCTATCCACACTCGCACAGCTCGCCCACGAAGAATTGTTTAAAATAATGAATTTCAGTTTCAAGCTTTCACACTCAACAACTCTAACACATGATAACAAGTTTCAAACTTTCCTTTAACCCGGTTGGAAAGGAATTATATACTAAACAACACTAACCAACGCAGCTTACTAAATACCACAAATCATAGAATAACAGCATGACTAAGAAAAGGAAACCAACGGTACCCAAACCGGATTAACCCAGTTTAAAACTGGATAATTTATTCTTTTGAAGACTATTATAAAGTCTAAGAAAGAAATAATAAAACACAAAAAAGTCGAAAGACAAACCCATACCAAAAACAATTTGATTTTTGAAAAAAGGACACAACCAACAAAACATAAGAAAAACCACAACAAACCCAACACAAAACGTTGTCACATAACAGGACCTCTCACAAAAACCGCATGCAATCATACTCCCACTCCTGGCCTAACCCACCAGAAGAGGACGTCCTGAGCATGCTCTATAGGCGGCCTAACCCACCGTGCTACATCCACGCTTTGTGACCACACTCCTACTTTTAATAAGAGCTACTCAAGGGTGAGTAACTCTTCAAAATAACTGAACTAAAACAAAAAGCTTTTGTGAAAACAACTAACCAAAATCATAACTAAAACATTAAACTAATAAAAATTTTATAAAATGTAAATTATATCTTGCAGTATATAGATCAGCATACAACACCAAAGACGAACATCCAAAGACAAATTGACCCCACTACACTCGAAAAAGAATGGCCAACCACAATCAATATGCCGCCCACAATCACAACTCAAAGGATTTAGAGTACGACTTGACTTCGCAGAAAAGGACTTCATTGAACTAGAACAATGACCACCTCGATGTTCAAGTATACGTACAGATCCGAGTAACCAGGCATCCCCTCCACACACAATCTCCACGCCATTCCCAGACAAGGTCAAACACAAAAGAAGTTCTCTACATGAAACGGAAAAACCTGTCATAGCCAACCATTCTGAAATCAGATTTGAGTTTGTTGCGAAAACCCAGTCGTTGTCTTGAGAAGACACAACGATTGAATCTGGGACTTCTCTAATAAGAAAACCCAGAAGAAATAAGATGTTCGCCAAATACCAACGTCCATCATCCATCCTTTGAATTGCAGAAAGACTATTCTAAAAAACTCTGTAAAACCCGGATGGGTGGAACCTGATCTAAACTACATTTTATGATTGGATAAATTAGATATTTTACCACTGTAAAGTATTTAATATTAACCAATCATGATCCATCTAACTAACAACCCACTTATTTGTTAGTGCTGAAATTACTTGTAATTTCAGCACCAGAGAGATTTGAATTTAACTTAGAAATTAGTTGACTCTCCAAGAAGACTTCAGCAGCCGCAATAAACCAGTATACCCTAGATCTATTGAGCCTAGCAGAGACTAGTTAAACAACCTGAGACTAGATAGTATAAGAGTAAGATTAGGATCGGTATTAGACTAAGAAGTTGCACGAATCTATCCGGCCGAAAATAAGATAGCGTGACGAGCAGACGGTGTACCTTATCCGAAATTACTCTATGAGTTATACACTTCGGTCCTAACTCAATTGCAATACATAGAAATGATAGAGAAAAAAGATAGAAAAAATATCAAAAAAGGATCGAAAAAGAAAGATAGAAAAAAAAGATCGAAAAAGGATTGAAAAAGAAAGATAGAAAAAAAGATCGAAAAAGAAGGATCGAAAAACAGATAGAAAAAAAATTAAAAGAAAAAAAAATAGAAAAAAAGATAGAAAGATTGAAAAAGACGGATCGAAAAAAGTGATATAAAAAAGGCATATAAAAAGTGGTATAAAAAGTGATAAAAAAGATATAAAAACGTGGTATAAAAAATTATATTGGAGGATTGAAGAAGGATCGAAAAAAACAGATAGAGAAAAAAATAGAACAAAAAGAAAGAAAGATAGAAAAAGACGGATAGAAAAAAAAGATAGAAAAAACAGAAAGAACGAAAAAAAAGATTGAAAAGATTTAAAAAAAGAAAAAAAGATCAAAAAAGAAGGCTAAAAAAGATAGAAAAAAAATCGAAAAAAGGATCGAAAAAAATTCCAGATAAAGATAAATAACGAAATATTGGAGACAACCGTTTGACATTAGTACTATTTTGAACTGCATTGAAAGTTTAAAAAAATTAGGAGACGGGTAGACAGACATAATCAAATTATTTAGAAAAGCAGGTATACAGACAGACAAACTTAATTTGGCCTCGAGAAAAATTACTAAAAAATTAATGACCTTGCGGAAAACTAATTGAAAAATTTTCTGAAGCATTGCAATATATTATATAGCTTAAACATGAAAAATTTCTTTCGTTAAACATGCAAAAGTATTATGCTTAAAAAAGTATTATGCTTAAACATGGGAGATAGCTGTCACTAGCATTTAAATATAGTATAGATAGATATATATATATAGATAGATAGATAGATAGATATATATATATAGATAGATAGATAGATAGATAGAAAGATAGATAGATAGATAGATAGATAGATAGATAGATAGATAGATAGATAGATAGATAGATAGATAGATAGATAGATAGATAGATAGATATAGATTACTTCAAAAAGCGCAATAGTTGTGTTTTAGTCGTGTTTAATTCAAATAATTGAATTGTTGATTATAACTTCAATATAATTTTGACTACTACCATCCCAGCCTATATGTATGTTTATATACTTGTAAATGGCTGCCGCTGTTGATCGCTACAAAAATCGCACAAGAAACTAAGAGAACTATGTTCTAGTACTCATATCTCGCGAGTACCTGAACTGAACTCACGGTCCAAGTGTAGAGTTCCCTCTCCAGTGAAATGGCAGCCATCACATTGGATCCCACGGCCACTCCAATAGCTGTACTCTGACCCATTTGATGTCGTCCTAAACTTCCCCCTCCACCTCTGCCGGCGGGCGCCGAAAAATGCTCGATCTTCGCAGGCATGAGCTTGCCCCCTCCCCAGCAGAACACTTCGGAAGACTAGAAAGGCAGTAAAGACTAGGGGTATTTCAAAGAGTTGAGCCGCTAAAGCAGGGGAGCTTCTCGTTTCTTCTATTGAATTCAAAATTTCAGATTTGTGAGGCTATTTTTGAGAGAAGTCAAAAAGTTTGAAAAAAAGACGGTCAAAAACCAAAGATTTGACTTTTCCGGGATGATAAATTTTTAGTAAAAACATTTGGGCTTAGTCGCTAATGCAGGGGAGCTTCTTAAAACAAATTCTCTCCAATGAACCTAAAATCTCAGTTCTGCGAGAGTACTTTTCGAGAAGTCAAAAATTTTCAAAAAAACGGTCAAAAAATTTTCCGGGGTCATTCTTTTCGTCTAAAAAAATGCATCCTAGCCGCTAATGCAGCGGAAATTCCCAAAATTATGAGTGTCAATGGAAGCCAACAAGTGGGGTGCAGTTCTGTTGTGTATATGGACAAATAAGCGGATGACACGACCCAAAAGTGATGAAGGAGCTTATTAAGATACCAAACAGTTAGGTTTGATGTATCTCAGAGAATACAAAAAAACGGATACCAAAAATTATAGCTGGATGCTTTGACTTATTCTAAGCAATTTAACATATATTAGCCTAAAGTTGCAGATCTGAAATCCGTGATCAGCAAGCAATAACAGTGCGTTTTGAAAATGAGGTCAAAAAACTGACAAATCAAAAACAGACACAGAAGGTTAAAAAAATGCAAAATTTTAGATCAAAAGGGCAATAAAATTGAACTGCTTATAGGGCTACCACAGAAATTACAGACAACTGAAGAAACATTGAAACTTTTGAAAAAATAGATTAACGAGGTTATAGAAAAGTTTAATCAATACAGTGAGGATAAAGAAACTTAAAAGAGATTTGTAAATGGAGGATAAATCAGGATAATAATCAAAAATTTATAAAAAAAACGATCCGAACAAATAAAAAGGAAAAAAAGATGGCGATCTTACAGAAAACACTTTAAAACAAGTCTAACAAAAGTGCTCTTGACGAAAAAAAATCACTCAGGAGCATACAATTGTAGGGTTGATAAGGAAAACGTCAACAAACGTTCTCCCTGTAAAGTTTTTTCAAAAAGGTCCGAAAATGGTCAATTTCTGAATTTCTAATGGCTCCAACTGCTGTCCCGAGTCGTTTTTGCCGGTTTTCAGCAAATGTTTGAAAAATTCAATCAGAAAGAGTTATTTTTGTTCTGGAAAAGAACAAAAGTTGTTCGAAAAAAAAACGGTCAAAATCAAAATTTTGACTTTTCCGATGATGATATTTTTTGGCAAAAAAATTTGGAACTAGCCGCTAACGAGTGTCAACGAACGCCAACAAGTGGGGTGCAGTTCTGTTGTGTACATGGACAAATAGGCGGATGTGACGGCCCAAAAGTGATGAAAGAGCATATTCAGATACCAAACAGTTTGGTTTGATGTATGTATATCAGACAACTCATAAATACTGATGCCAAAAAATTTAGCTAGATCCGTTGACTGAGTTTTAACAACTTATTAGGTATTAGCATCAAGTTACAGATCTGAAATCCGTGATCAGCAAGCAATGGCAGTGCGTTTTGAAAGTGAGGTGAAAAACTGACAAATCAAAAACAGTTACAGAAGGTTACAAAAACTGCGAAGTTTAAAATCAAAAGGGCAAGAAAATTGAACTGTTAAATAGGGCTACCACAGGAATTACAGACGATTGAAGAAAATTGGAACATTTGAAAAAATTGATTTACGAGGCAATAGAAAAGGTTAATCCATACTGTGAGGACAAAAAATGAAATGGTAAATGGAAGATAAACCAGGATAATCAGCAAAAAATTTAAAATAAAACAATCCGAACAATTGAAAATGATTAAAGATGACGAACTTACAGAAAACATCAAAATAAACATGTCTAACAAAAGTGCTGAAAAATGATCACTCAAGAACATACACTTGTAGGGTTGATAAGAAAAACGTCAAGGTATGTTAATCCAGTAAAAATTTGTCAAAAATGTCCGCAAATGGTCAAATTCTGATGGCTCCAACTGCTGTCACGAATCATTTTTGCCGGTTTTCAGGAAAGGTTAATAAAAAATTAAATCAGAAACAGCTATTTGTTTTTCTGTAAAAGAACAAGTGTTTTTGGTCGCGCAAATGCTCAGCCTATAGTCTTTAGGATTTAAAAAAAGCAATTAGGATAAATGAAATTTTAAAAACAAACAGACATAGGGTTTTGTCATTGACCTACTGAAAGCATCTGGCACAATTACACAAAAACAGCTCCTAGCAAAATGTTTTCCAATCGTCTAAATATAAGAGAAAGACAGCAAACTGTTTTGTTTTTACGAGAAGCAATCAAATATGAATACAATATCAACTGGACAGTCACAACACTCTGTCCTCGGCTCCAAGTTTTTGCTCATTTACATAAACGATACTTGTGATCGAGTTGTATACTCACAGTTAACAATTAATTTGTTCGCCGATGAAAAGATTATATTAGGAAACAGTGCTGAAAGGGCGGCTCAAGTTTGAGCTAAAACTTTTTAAAAAATAAGACAGCAAATTCCATTTTAGAGTTACTGTAGTTTTCAGTGTACACTTAATCGTGAATAAACTAACTATCGCTTGCCATTTGAAAATTAAAAAGCATGTTCAACAAGTTGAAAACAAAACTGGCAAAAGCGCTGCCATTCTGGATACATTAAGATTAAAACAAAAAAATTAAAGAGCTTTCGATTTCTGAAAAATCTATGCTAGGCCTGTACTTGAATATGAAGCAATTATCAACAGCATTACCGGCAAAACTATGATTGAAGACACCAAGTAGGTCTTCCCATTTTCGCGAAGACAAAATTACCATGCACTAAAATGAACAGACCGTGTTTCAGTCCCGGGAGATGACCAGCAGGAAGATCTCAAAAACGTTGGATCGATTGTTTGAAACGGAACCTGAATACTTAGCTATAAACCCAAAGATTGTCTTGATCGAACGGCATGGAAAAACGTATTATCTTTATGAAATAGCTTGAATGCTATTAAAGAGGCTCTCATCTAAATCCTGGAATTTGTGAAGCTAACCAGATATACCATTGATTACGCAGTTTCCGAATGTCTAAACCCGCCACAACCGTAAGCCGGACAAAAATTACATTAGTAGTAGTAGAAGAAATATAAAAACCATCCATGGAGAGTCTGATTGAATCTAAGAGAATTTGACAGTGTGTACAGAATACGCTGTGAGCGGTAACTGCTGACCATTGAAGAAATGCATCCAAAGAAGCTGATTAGACTCTTAGCAGAAAAACCAGGTGTCAGATAAGGATGAATGAAGTCAAAGAAAACAAAAATTTAAATACAAAACTCACAATTAAGGTTTTTTGAAAAACATAATTCAAAAACTCAATGATAAGGAGCAAAACAGTTGAAAAAGTTTCTTAAAAATCCCTCGGTTACTATCTTGTTCAATAATAAACTTGAAAACCTATTTTGGCAGACGCGCGATCTCTAAATTCTTCCTTTTTTATGGGTTATTCTAAAGTGTAATTCGAAGTTACTTCCAAACAAAATCACTTAGCATAAACAATTATCGGAAGGATCGAGTGATATATCAGATTAAAGCCATTTCAGTCCTGATTCGAACAACATTTAAAAACATTCCCAAGGGCGAGAAAAACTGGTTCAAAAACTTTGAGCAAGCCCGTCTCCATTAATAAATCGTTTCAAAAAAACTGTCCCATGCCACGTTTCGATTGGCAAAACTTAGGTTTTTCTAAGCAGGCTATTCAAACGATGAAACTTTTTAGGTTACTTCAATCACTAAACGGGCTAGCAAAATCTGAGTTTTCGAAAATTTTTGTTATTTCGTGCCCTGAACTTATCAGCAAGAAACTAATTTTTCTGAGCAAGTCATTCAAGCAATGCAACTTCAAAATTTCCAAAGTTCACAAAGAATTTTGGAAATTTTTGAATTTTTTCTTACCGTGTATCGATTGGCAAAATTTAGGTTTTTTAAGCAAGCCATTGAAACGATAAAAATGTTGAAATGTTTAGGTTAATTCATACATTTAATCGATTCACAAAACATTTCTTCCTGAAAAAGCCATTCCAGCCATGAAAATTTGAAAAACTTTATGTTATTTCATACCTTAAGTCCATTCGCAATAAAAAAAACGTTCTGGGAAAGTCATTGAAGCAATGCAGCCTCGAAATTTTGAAAGATTCCAGACCACGATCCGGTTCGCTTAACAGTAAGCTGTTCAATCCACTCAACTTTAAAAAACTTACTGTTGATCTGTAGAGCCAATAAATGCGCAAAAATTTGTCTATGCTAGTTTCTTGAGAAATAGCTGAAGTTTTTTTTGAGTCCGAATTGTTTCGCGGAATTAAAAGTTTTGTTTGAAAACCAATTCAACGAAATTATTTCATCAAAAGTTTTACTTTTTTAAAGCTAAGCAAGCGATGAAACGTTGAGTTATTTCAAGATGCTTCATAAATCGAATCGTTTTGCGACAAGTTAGTTTTTCCTTAGCAAGATTTTTGAGGAATGAACGTTGAAATAAACTTTTCTTAGCAAGCTATTCAAGCGACGAGCCAATGCACAAAGCCGCCTAGAGCGCAAAAATATTTGTTTCTTTATGCAAGCTATTCAAGTGATGAAATTTTAAAATACTTCAAATTGATTCATACGGCGAATTGGCTCGCAAAAAGATAAAGTTTTTCCTTTCAAGCTTCTGGAGCGATGATACCTTAAAATGTTTCAAGTAATTTCATAGACTGAATTGGGTTCGTGGTAAATTTAAAATTTTCAAAGCGATGAAAACTTACAATATTTCAAGTTGATTCATTAATCAAAATGGTTTGCAAAAAGTTTAGGTTTTTCTATTCTCAAGCTTTTGGAGCGATGATATTTTGAATTATTCCAACATATTTCACAGACCAAATCGGTTCGCTAAATATTCATTTTTTTCCAAAACAAGCTTTTGAGCGAGGAAATTTTGACGTACTTCAAAATATTTCACATACGAAATCGAGTAGCAAAAAGTGAAACTTTTTCATAAGCAAGCTATTCAAGCGATGAAATATGTAAATATTAACAGAACAAATAAGTAAGCAAAAAAAATGAGCAATGAAATTTTCAAATATTTCAAGTTATTACAGAGAACAAATGGGTTCTCGAAAAACGTAAAGTGACATTTTTCATAAGTGAGCTATTCAAGTGATGCAACATTGAAAAACTTCAAGTCTTTTCAGAGATTGAATTGTTTCGCGGAAACTTAAACTTTTCTTGCAAGCTAATCAAGCGAAACAAATTTGAGAAATTTCAAATTATTGATAGAGCGAATCAGTTTCTGAAAAAACTTACTTTTGTTTTGCAAGCTAATCGAGCGATGAAAGGTTGAGCTATCCCAAAATGGTTTATAAATCGAATCTTTTCGCAATAAGTTAGTTTTTGCTAAGCAAGAATTTTCATAGAGCAAATCAGTTCCCGACAAAATTAAACTTTTCCTTTCAAGCTATTCAAGCGACGAAAAGTTAAAATATCGCAAGCCAATACAGAAAACCGCCTAGTGCGCGAAAATTTGTTCTATGCAAGCTATTGAAGTCATGAAAATTTGAAATACTTCAAGTTGATTCATGAAGCGATTTCGTCAAAAGAAACTTCAAAATATTTCAACATATTTCACCGATCGAATTGGTTTCGGAAGTATTCATGTTTTTTCAAAGCAAGCTTTTGAGCGATCAAACTTTGAAATAATTCAAGTTATTTCACAAACCGAATCAATTCGAGACAAGTGAAAGTTTTTCATCAGCAAGCTATTCAAGAGATCAAACATGTAATTTTTTCAAGTTATTTCAGAACGCGAGTTTATTCGCAAAAAGTTTAGAGCTTTCCTTGCAAGCTGATGAAACTTTGAATTATTTCAATTTATTTCATAGAACAAATCGGTTTGCAATGAGTTCAAGCGATCAAACTTTGAAATCCTTACTGCTGATTTGTAGAGCGAGTAAGTTCGCAAAAACGGCGAAGTTTTTCTACGCAAATTTCTTGAACAATGAAACTTTGAATTATTTCAAAGTTTTTCAGAGAGCGAATGGGTTTGCGAAAAGATCATATTTTTCTATGTAATCTTTTAGAGCAATGAAACTTTGAAACATTTCAATTTATTTCAGAGACCAAATTCGTTTGCGAAAAGTTAATGACAAGCGAGCTAATCAAGCGATGAAACGTTGAAATATTTCAAGTTATTGCAGAAAGCGAATTGGTTCGCAAGAAATCAACCTTTTCTATGCAAGCGTTTTGAGCAAAGAAACTTCGAAGCATTTCAAATTAATCATAGACCGAAACGTTTCACGAAAAAATATTCTTTGTTTGCAAGCTTGTCGAGAGATTAAACTTTAAAATATTTCAAGTTATTTCATTGCGCGAATTGGTTTGCAAAAACTTAATTTCTGTAAGCATGGATGTTGCTGTCCTTAGTTTAATCGTTTGACACTAAAATGAATCTTTAAACGCCAAATTTTGGACAAAAATACTTTCTAGCCTTGAAGTTGAATCAAGTTTATCTTGTCTGAAGACTTTTTCCGAAAAAATTCTAGAATTTACCAGACTTTAGAATGTTTCAAAGCTCTAGAAAATTCTTGGACTTATCTTAAACGTTGAGCCTAAAGAAATTTCCAAAACCAAATTAAAACAATGCGCGCAGTTAAACATTGTGTCCATAGCGCATTCCGACTTTCATTTAATATATAAGATATAAAATTAAACTCGTTTTCTTACTACAATGTTTGAAGGCGTCTTTGCTTGTTTTTGTTTTGATATAATTGCTGTGATTATAAAAAAAATATTGCTCATTTTAAGGACAAACAAAACGCACACTTTGCAAGACCTGATAATCTCTTACTACTGGTTTCAAATGATGTAAAAGAGTAAATTCTATTGTTCGTATTTCCAGAATCAAGCGGGAACTTATAATTTGTTCAATGGGATGGTATGAAAATTTGCGGAAATTCAAGTTCTACCTGTGAGGCGATTGTAGGGTTGGAAGAAAAGGAAGCGCCACTTCCGTGAAAAGATAGAGACGAGGATGAGTGAAAGTCAAGAGAGCGATAGTCTAAAGAGGAGAGAGAGGTCTGCTGAGACCACGACGCGGACGAAGAGGGAGAGCCAGAGAATGGAGCTGGTCCAAACTGCAGGGAGGATGGAAGAGAAGACAGTAATCGACTTCTAACTGTCTCAATCACGGAGACGTAAAGACTGAAACAAAGATAAACCGCTGCTTTGCCAGAAAATGCGATCTTATTTAAACCTTGAGTGATTTATAGTGTTAATTTTTCGTATATCAAAAGGCTCAGAAAATGATTATTTCCGGCAACTAAATCAGATTCGACTCTTCATCATTCGATTAATTAAATCTCTTGCGCTCAAAGTCTGGACCGTATGGTTATATTTTTGACCGCTTGTCCGATTGAGAAATTATCATCTTCTGACCTTTTAGACATGCGAAAAAACGCCATGAACTTTATGAATTTAAAATCCTACGAAAAAACGTATGACGTTAAATGCCTTAAAAGGCGTTTTCTAATTAATTACAATATGACCAGGAGATTGACTGAACAATGAGCATTTCAAGGTTTATTGTGCATACATTGTTGACTAACAACTTCATGGGCAAGTAAAAACTATGACAAAGAAAGTTCATCTACAACATCGTTGATCAAGCAATCATGTGGACGTTTCAAAAAGATTTTTCAACTATCTTCTCCCTATCATTACTTGATCAGCTATCGATTTTTTAGATAAATTTTCCTTGCCATTGTTAGTTGCCAATGCAGTTGTTGGTCAACAATGTATGCACAATAAACCTTGAAATGCTCATTGTTCGTCCACGATGTATGTATTAAACATTCAAATAATTTCATTAATTTTCTATTAATTGTCTATTTCAAAAAAGAAAAACTATCTGGAAAATACAAGCCGATAAATTGTCAGGCATCATTTCGTCAAGAAATAATAACGTTTTTACTCAAGACCGGACATTAAACCAGGAAGCAAGTATTTAGTATCTCGACAAATTGGTTATTATCGAGTAATAAACTGTTCGATAAAAATAACACAAGCAAAATTTTACATTAACTTAGCAACAAAAGCTTATATTTGAGAAGAAAAAAGACTAGTAATATGCGTTGCATGTGTATTCAAAGACGTTCTTGGCAGAACCTTGTATCAAACCTTGTTCAAGGATTGACATCAGTAGCAAAACGTCTGAGAAGCAAATAAACCAATAGGCGAAGCTGCACGAAGCAAACAAGCAAGAAAACGGTAAAAATCAGCTCTAGAAAAAGAACAAGGTGAGACAAGGAAAAAATCAGCATTGAAAATTAAAACAATTGCAATGAGCCGGAATCGAATCTCCGACCTGTAAATTGAAAAACACACGCACACAAAACGTTTCTCGGCCACGAAACGATGCAAAAGGGGGCCACTAGGTAGACATAAAATAAGCCGAAACCGAATAAGTCGAAATAAGAAGACTGGTTGTAATTTTACCAAATCGATTTGTTAAAATTTCGTTTATTGTCTTCTTATTTCGACTTATTCGGTTTGGTAAAATTACAACCAATGTAAAAAGTATTCGGCCCAATTTTTAAAATGCTCAGACACTTAGCAACTACAGTAAATTTTTTTTGCACCAAAAATTAAATGATTCTTAGATCTGGCAACTAAGCCGGCAAAACATAAGCAGACAAATTATAGGCCGAAATTTTTTTCAACCGGAACTTTTACCGTTTGAAACAAAAAAAAAACAGTTCCTGGTCAGATTCGAACCCAATTTGGTTTTGGAGGGTAGTTTCGAAAAGAAGTGAGATTCACAAAAAAGGTCAACATGCCAAAAAATGGCCTTTTCCTCAGGCTGCAGATTTTTAAAAATACGGCGTATACAAGGAAGATTCCCGCAACCAGTTCTTTCAATTTATCCCCTAACCTCAGATTTAGGTGGGTAATTTCCAAGAAAAACAAAAAGTTCCAAAAAATGTTTCACCAAACAGAAACTAACACTATCCACCAATGAAGGAGCAACAGAAGCTACTAATTTGTCTATGCGTGAAAATATACCAAAAACGCCACCAAAAGAGCCTTTTAAATGCATCTTATTTAAAACAAACAAATTTAGCTGCCTAGTGGATTCGAGCCACAGCCTTAGAAAAAAAGTAAGCCCGTATTGAAACACCAAGGTAGAAATTTTCAGCCTTATCTAAGCCTTATAAAAATGATCGAGTCTTACTAAATTGTCGAGCCTAAGATGATCACTACCTCTTGCTGTTTTCGAAGGTGACATCATTTGTAACTTGCTCGGCTGAAGGCCTCTTATTGGGATCCTAAAACATCAAATTAAAACTACAAAGTAAGACAATTTTTTAATTAAAATAAGTATTTAATAGCCTTCAACGCTACAATCATTACACAAGGTAGTGAAAACTGTGGAATAACGAGTCATTTTTGCGAAAGCAATAAGTCAGAAATCATAATAACATCTTCAGTTACGAACATGAAGAAGAGACTATTGAACATAGCCAATCGAAATTTGGAAAAGAGTAATGAACGCAAGTATACAGGAAAAAAAACGCTGACTTTGTTAAAAAAACTTAACTTTCGAACTTCAATGGAAAAAATAGATGCCCTTTAAGCTCTTTGAATTTCTAGAACAATTTATGATTCGCACTTTTTGATAATATCAACCCAAATTGAGAAAACTGGATCAACAGGTAAAGTTTTTAATCCGCTGGAAATCTAAAAATCAAATTCCACTTTCGAAACTAGAAATCGTTCACGTTTTTTTTTCGCCATTTTCACGTTCGTATTTGGAGAGTGCTATTTGCGTCACTTTCAGCAGATGAAATTCAATTGAACTCAAAAAGTGCATACATACCTAAAAGCATTCATAAATGCATCAATTTGTATAAATGCGTATCTGGAGTTAATACAGCATTTTAAGACTTTTCCTGAAAAAAAAAACAAACAAAAATCAGCAAGATCTATATAAGAGTTTTCACTAATTTCATTACTTTTAACAAATTGCCAACTTTTTAATGAAGATGTAGCTAGACCATATGCTGTATAATCAATATATATTGCCTCTAAAATATGCTATTTTGGTTGATTCGCACTAAAATATTTGAAAAAAGCGAACTGACCATATAACACTACTACGCTGGCAAGCTCGCTTGAAAAAACATAGGCCACATTGAATCTTAACAGCAAGAGCAAAAAATCTTCATTTAAACCTTCATTTTCATAGATTTGTATGATCACAATGAATATTCATTGCAGCTATGATTTGAGACAAGGCAAAAATGACATATGAAACAACATCTCGCAAAAAGTTGGATCTGCAGTCTTCTACCAACGTCGCTTTAAAAAATCCTTCCAAAAACAGGGTGCTGAGTTGGCTTAAAAATTTTGGGCTTCATGGTAAATTAGAACTGATTGACTATTCAGATATAATAGCTTTTTACGCTGCAGACAGTAAATGGTAAGAGATAAATGCAGTTTTGAACTCAACAAGTGGCAGTTTCCTGCAATTTGGTATTTGCTACCGCCCGTGGAGAATTTTGTCGCATATCTCTTGATTACGGATAGAAGCAGTTAGAATGGGTAGAAATCAGAAAAGGTAGAATGCAAGTTCGAACTATATGACTTACAGTGTTGAGCATTTTGTCCACTAGGTCCCAAAGTGGCTTCGAATAGACTTCCCTATTCACTCCTTCTACCTGTATCTTTCCATGCACCACATCATGGGCCAGCCGGAGTGCATTCTAGAAACAAACCAACAAGAACATAGCCAACAGACAGTCGGAAAAATGTTGATGAACGCATAAAAAGTTAACAAAATACTGACTTGTTTTTGTTTTTTTCTGGAAAAAATTCATTTTTCAAATTTCAAAGACTTTTGAAACTAGAAGTCAATCATGTATTTCGTGACCTTTACATTCAATTTTGATTTTTGACGAAGAGGAGCTTAAAATAAAAAAAATCAGACTAAAAACAAGGATAGCCGATTGATGTACAAGAAGCACAGAATGATCCGACCAGAAAACCTATAGGTAATTAATATATAGTAACTACATCAGTTGATAAAGTGTTAATGAACACAAGGAACCCGAAAAACATGATTGACTTACTTTTAAAATATTTTCAACTTTCTAAGTTTGATGAAAAATAAATCACGTTGAGCTTCTTTGGTTTTCGAGAATCTTTTATGATTGCATTTTTTCTACACAGAGGCAAAGCTGTACTTCGCAAACACTTGCGAGAAAACGACAAAAAAGCAGCTTCATACAATTTTCTTTATATAAAATAGAAATAAGCCATGAATTAGTAAAACTTTGCTATGTATCGGATTCGAACCTGCCGCCTAGAGATTTAGAGTTTCACGCCCAGCCCTCTCGGCCACGGACGCTTAACCATAAGCAATAACTAATCACAAAATCAACTATATATGCATATAAATTGCCGATGCAATGCAGCAAAAATGGCACCAAATACAATAGACACAATTTTGCAGGTAATAATTTGGAATATAACAAACCGAAGGCATCCGCACTAACGTTGCCTGTCATGAGGTCGAAAGCAAAAAAATATATGGTGTATAAATTACGCATTTTAAAAATTGCGAGATATAGTGAGTTAAAAAATTTCTAAAATCGTCTTTTTATTCTAGTTTTGTTGTTTGAAAAAAAATAGCTTTTTGCGGTTCATTTGGTGAATTAAAAATACACCAATTGTGTTAATGTATTACTATTCGAATTTCAAAGCGCATGCTATCAGACAGCCGTAAAAGCGCCAACAAAAGTGGCGCCAATATTTGCGACATAGGTCAGAAAAAAATAGTCTTACTATTAAACTACGCTCACTGAAGTTCACTAGTGTAATAAAACAAGTACACAGCCGAAATAAGGTTGGAAAATTGTAACAGAACAAAGGAACCGGTAGGAAAATGGATGGAACGTTTTTCACGAAATTTCAACTTTCAAAAAAAGCAACATAGCAGGCTAAAGCTCTTAGAAATGTAAGAACTATTTAGGATTGACACTTACAATTTAAGAAAGCTGTATCAACGCGTAATTTTTTCATACCGCTGCAAAATCTAAGAAGTTGTTCACGTTTTTAGCGCTTCAACAGAAGCACAGCATTGCAATATATCGAAACGAAAATGAGACGGAAAAAAATGAATCGAGAAAAAAATTCAGAAAAAAAACAGTCAAGATACGCAACAAACAGCGATACGCAACAAACAGCAAAAAAAACAGCTTCAAGATTTTACCGAGCGGCCACAAAGCCAACAAAACGCAGAAAGAAAAAAAATCCACAAGAAAAGGTTGCTATAATATTTTGAGCAATTAAGTTTTGAAATTTTGAGCACATAAAAAATAAACTACCTAAATTTTTGCGAAAAGCAATAATCAATTTTGCCCTTCGAGCGCCACAAAATAAGTTATCTAATCATAAAAAACGAAAAGATGTTAAATGTTAATGCATTTCGAGTAACAAAACTCATCATCAGGACATATCTGAAGAATAAAATAACACTGTATAAAGAGCAATAAAATTACACACATTGGTAGCACCAGAAAGACATTTTATAAAAGTTAAGGAACTTCTGTGGAACTAAGTCAAAATAATATAAGACTAAACTAGGGCGAATAAAACTTTCAGGGGAACAAAAAAAGAGGAAAATATACAAAGTCAGGGTAGGTAAGTTTACAAAATAGAGAAGCAAATCAAAATTCCCCGATGTGGCAACTAGGCCATCCAAACATACGCAAAAAGACCGACAAGTCAATTTTTCCCGAGAAAAATTCAATTTCATGCATGCTGAAAAAACCGCTACCTCTAGACCACGTAAGAAAGAGTGTCGAAGTTGTTGAGGTTCATTACCAAAGCAACTTTAATTTCTTGCAGATATGTTAGAACAGTTGTTTAAGGGAAAAACTCTTGTTCCCTATTTCATGAAATTTTTTCTAATCAACTCAATGTGACATATTTAATTATCCCAATATGAGAAAACTGGATTAAAATGTTTTTTTTTTATGCGGGTTAATCTACAAATGAAACCCACTTTCAAAACGAATGGTACCTCTCTATTTTTTGCGCTGTTTGCGTTTTTGGAGAGCGTAACTTGCATTTCTTTTAACACAAAGAAATGGATTGAACTTAAACAGAAATCAAACCGCTAAAAATCAAAGCTGAAAGAGCGTGAATGAACTTTAAACCTTTTTCCATGAAAAAAATCATCACGACCTTCAATGACGCTTGAACAGGTAGAAGGAATTATATTGTCTTTCGCTGATAATGTAGCGCAAATTGACCTCTCGCAAATTATCCGCGGTCAAAAGAACTGTTTTTTTTTTTGCACACTATCTGCCTTAACCTACTGTTTTTCAGTCACACTCAATTACTTACATATTCGAAATTCACAATCTTGCAGTTTGAGGAAACCAGAATACTGCTTTTAAGGAATGTCTTCCCTACCACACAGATTTGACATAGAGGCGAAGCTTCGCTTCGCAAACACTTGCGAGAACACGAAAAAAAGCAGATCTATAAAGTACAATAATTAAAATAAGCATCCAAACCCAGGCCACAAATAAAGCAGAAAACAGGCGCTATGCAATTTCCAATGCTTCAGTGCAATTTCCAAATAAGTGAACATCTTTAAGGGACACTTTTATTTGCGAGTTAGGTTTAAAAAAAGAAGGTTCGTAATAACACACTAAGCTGATCGCAAGTGTAAATATATATATACATTTTTTTCAACGGAACTCAATTTGTCAACATGCTGTTTTTACGTGGACTCCGCTTTCTTCTCCGAGATACCTTTAGTTTCGCCAGTGCTTTTACCGAATTCTTTTTGCTTTTCCGGGATAGATTTTTATATATTTGCAATAGGGGCTCTTTTCCATCCCCCTTTTGATTTTTTCTGAAATTGGTTTGATGAAAGCCTATTTAAAATGAGTTTTCATGTTATTAACTTCATGCTCATCTAAACGTGTCAGCGAGAACAGGTGAACAACAATTTACAACATTTCTTACATGCAAAATGCCATGTGAACAGTTTTTGAACAGTTTTTGCTTTGTTATTTTACGAGGGCAGTGGGAATTTGGAAAAGAGCCACAATGGGCATTGCCGTTAGTTGTGACACCTTAATTATCATTGTGATCTCTTACAGTGGCGTCGAAGCTCTTCTTGAGGGTCATAAGTTCAAACAACACACACCCACACGCCCAAATGTCACTCTTCTGGTCATATCTAAAAGCAAAAAAATATAACAGTAAGATAGAAAAAAAGAAGATCTTAAGTCATCAAATTTATTGAAGAATTATTCTCACACATTTTTTCCAATAAGAATTACTGCATTAAACTTTGAACAACAATAGTCAGTTAAGAGATCATTACAATAAATTAATGAAAATAGCCAGCTAAGAAATTATTACTCATTTCCATTTATCATTTTTGCTTCCTTTCCTTTACACACGCAAGAAGAAAACAGTTTACAAAATTGAATTATTAAAAACTGAAAATCTGAGTAATATCGGGATGATGTAAATGAAGCAATGTCATTTAAGGCAGCCCCAAATATTTTTTTCTCTAGTTACAAATTGTTTTCTCTTCAAATGTTTAACATTATAGGTAAAAATGCAATTCACGCTGTTGTTTATTTCAAACTTACCAGGTTGATTAAATGGATATCAGCCCCGGTAACAGGGTCAATGTTTTGCTAGATTTATTTTTAAATTCTCAAATTTTGTGGCACAATAAATCCATTTAGGGGATAATCACCGAAAATACGCTCATTATCTTTTTTTTTACCAGGTTGAAGCTTTTAAAACTTTCTTCATCTTCAAAAAAAGTTCATGAGCTGCTCATGAAGGGAAGATGAAGAAACGAAACAGAGAAAATATTAATGACTCAACTGAACTTTTTTTCGAAAAAATAAACAAAAATATAATACCATTTACAATTAATTCAGTTTCAGAAAATTTACATTGAACCTTCTTGATAAAGTTGACCCGCATCGAAAAGATCTGACGAACTAAATAACTAATAACAGAATGCAACTAACACGAGGCCCTGCATCAGTTCAGGTGACATGTAGTAGGGAGTGCCAACCACCTGGAACAAAACACACATTAGAAATGGCAGCAGTCAACACCAAACACAAACATAGTTCAACCTTATTTTTTTTTTAATTTTCGTCGATTTCCAATCTCATCAATTCAGAAGAGAACCAACCAGGTAGTTGAAAGGTTCTTATTTCTGTTAGTGAGCAAAAATGATACACATAATCGAAACGAAGCTTCGCACCACTTGCGATACAACACATACATGACAAACTAACCGACAAAAAGCCGAGATAAAAGCCGTAGAAAAAAATATGAAAAAAAGGATCTACCTCAAAATTCATCTTTGTCTTGAATTTGCCTTGAATATAAAGTCCTCTAAAAAAGTTTGCCAAAAATTAAAACAATTGAATGTTAAATCATAGTCAACAAAAAGTTGGAAAAGAGTGTAGGAGCGCAAGAAGACAAAAAAAACACTGCCTATTTTCAATGAAAAATCTCAACTTTTGAATTTCAAAGAAACAAATAGATGGCTTTGAACCTCTGAAAACAAAGCGGAAATAAAGCCGACAATTCTAAAGTTCAAGTAGCCTTCACAAAAAATAAATGAAAAATTTTTGCTCCTCAAATAAACCAAAGATATTGCTAAGACGATATTACGATAATGGGGCACTTAGCAAAGTGGTAAGGCGTTCACTTTAGAATCGTCAGATCGTGTAATCGATCCCATACCATGGCAATGATAGTGTGTGAGGACGAGCTCTCAATTGACCTCTAGCTTCAGGTCTACCACAACCTGACCAAATTTGGCTGCAATAGTGGTACCACTTGAAAGTTCTAGACGCACAAAAACAGCCTTGAGTCGCAAAAAAGAGCTTCGCTCAACAAAATAACACTGTCTGGATTGTGGGGAGATAATACAAATGGACTATCCTCGACAGGACTGTTAAAGCCTATTGATAGCTCCTCTGCGGTTCGCAGGAACTACAATTATATAATCATCTGAAACCTATTAAGCCTAAAAACAACAAATACAACATACACTTGAATCAGAACTGGTAAATTTACAATTGCTATAAAAACAAACTTCCAATAGTACAGATATTTAAAATGCAGACATGCTCAAAACTTGCCTGTTAGCTGACGAAAGCACGGATAGAGAGAAATGATCAGCAATTTCAGTCATTCTATGAACAAAATTAATTACCGGAAAAAAAACCTTTTAAAAGCTTTTTGAAATTTTTAATGTCCTTGAAGCACGACTGAAAGGTCTTTAAAATTATATATCACTCAACCCAGTCCGATGATTATTTGTGATTTTGCGTGGAAAACAAAAGAAAAACCTAAAACACACCTGAATACAAAGTTCCTCCCCATTTTCAATGGTTGGAACAATAATGAGTTTTGAAAAATAAATTACCACGGGATTCAGATCTCAGTCATCCTCAAACAACCAATTAATATGGAAGAGTGGTGGAACTGCCACACGCGATGAAACTGAAATTAGGTCCAATAGCAATTGCTTGGTAATAAGACGACAGTCTAGAAATACTAAACTTCTTGATTATTCTTGGTTGCTAGCGGCTTCTGAGCCAATCTCACACACTGTATCAATGACTGACAACTTTATATGGCTATGAATTCGAACCAAGTTTAACGTACACGAATTCTGGCTCGAATGACTCCATTTGACTCCATTTTCAAAATTTCACCATTTTCACCAAATTTGACTGAACTACTTCAACTGTAGTACAGACATGTGCCACTGGAACTTGAAGAAGCCAAAACCATTAACCAATAAATTGAAAAATACATGCTATAAACTGCCAATACTACGCAACTAAAGTGCCACCAAAACAATAAGCATCGTCTCTTTAAAAGACGATTTTATAAAAAAAAAACAGGTTTGCTTCATAATGCCGGTGCTTTTTTACTCACCGTCTGAGCCATGTGCGAATTTCCTTCAAGTCTTTTACTGATGCCAAAGTCGCCCAGTTTCAGCAGGGGTCCCAATGTCTCTTTCTCAGACCCAGCCCCTCCTCCGACTTCTTCACCTGCAGATGCGCCAGTGGTGGTGATGAAGATGTTCATGGTCTTGATGTCCCTGTGGAGAATGGGGATGGCGTGTATGTGACTCACGGCCGCCATCAATTGATAAAAGAACCAGGTCACAGTCTAAAAAACACAATCACCATAACGTCACAAGGTCAGGGCGGGTTCGATTCCCGCTACTGCGCCGTGAAAGTTGCATCAAATTTATCTACTTACCAACACTCACGCCAACTTAACTAAATAAAATGAAACATACCGTCTTAAAGTATGCAGACGAACTTACATATTAAAAAAAGCATACTTTCCAGATAATTGGGTAATTGACCATGCCTAAGCCAGCAATTAGCTGTGACTTAGCCGGCAAGGACTTCACGGACATATCATGCGAAAGGATTCACGGACATATCATGCACCCAGCAGAGACATGCTTTAGTCGGCCTTACTTGAACTGAGGTGACTGTTCATTTTCCAGAGACATGAAAAAGATTCGCGTACCAAACTGTAACGATAAACTATTTATATTTTGCACTACCGTATATCTGTCTTCTCAGCCAATTGAAAGGTTTTAACAGTTCCCAGCAAAATGGAGAAATCTGTTACTGATATCAATATCCGTAACCCCTATGGTACTTAGTAACAAATATCCGCTTCTTAGAAAACTAAATCAACGATGAAGCACATAAGCGGATAATGATACCACTAACAAATTTCCACATTTTGCAATGGCGGAGGGAGATGAACTCTAAACGAGATCCCGCCGAGATACAACTAGAGATCTACTCACTTGTTCGCTGAGTGGATATGTGGCTCTGCCAATGAACTTCTGCAAATCGCCCCCTAAAATCACGCAGAAAGTTGACTCACTTATTGTCCAGTATTCGATGTTTTTAACGCAAAATTAGGTACCCTGAGGAAAATTTGTTAGGATTAAAAGATACATCTTCTATATAAAATCCCTGATTTCAAACGCACAAAAATTAAAGTCAAAAAAGGAAGCATTTATTTCTCCCTAAGTCACAACAAACATCATCAGCATAAAACAAATTTAAGTTTACAAGAAATTAAAAATTTATAGCAAAATTATAAGCACCAGACTTAAGAGTGGATAGCCAAAAAAGGCACAGAGATTGCCCACTACAAGTCTACTCATTAAGCATATCGATGAAAATTTCAACTTCATCTTTCCTAAAATTCAATAAAACCGCCATATCTCGAAAAATACAACAAATTGAGACGTCATGTTTTCAACCAAGATTCGCAAGCTTAGTGCAATTGTCTCACAGCATTAAATCAAATGGGTAAAAACTTTACAAAGCTTTGAAAACTTTTTAAAATGTCTAAAACCAAGAATTTTTCGAAAGCAATCATAGAAATCTCGATGTCCCGAAAACTACAAGGATTTGATAGGTCATATTTTCAGCCAAGAATTGCATAATTAACCATTGGTTTGAATTTTGTATTCAATCGAAATATAACTAGTTGAATATGTATGTTACCAAAACGTTAATTCCTAATATAAAGTTTTCTTAAAGTTTGTGAACCAAACAAGATTCTTCAAGTTTAGTCATTTTTTCTATATTTGAGGGTAACAAATCATTTTCTCTCATTATGTGTAGCAATTTTGCACCTCTACTGGCTAGCGAAGATAATTTGGTCTTCTTTTTACAGAAAGTAGAACATATATGGACTGTTTCTATTTTCGTGTATTATATGCAACGTTTCAGAGCGAAAAAAAACGAACTGAGAATAAATGTCGCATTGCCGCAATTCGTGTCCTAATTTAGCTTTTATTTGGTGAATGTACTGGTTAATGGTTAAACGACAACTGATATCTGCAATTACGTCAAGGTATTTAGATGAAGCCATCTCAACGCGAACAGTTTTTACAGTTAACAAGATTGCTCGTATAGCAGCAATTTTCCGAATGCACTTTAAAGTCAAAGTGTTTGGTTGAATAATTGTAAAAATAATCGAAAAAAAATAGAAAAACATTTTTTTCATGTTTTTCTTTATTTCATCCTCCCACACGCTATATAAAAAACAAAGCATCTAGTTTTGTTAAAATGGGACTAAAATGCAGGCCTCAATTCAATTTGAAACGCACCCATTTGCCGCTTAAGTGTGTAATAAGAACGCAACTTATCGAGCTTTAATTATCTAAAATTGGCCAACTTAACGATTTGCAAATCCCCGTAACTTTACGAAAAATATTTACAAGGTAAATATATTTTTTTCAAACTTGAACTCTTGAATATCTTTCAGATGATATTAAAAACATTCCATCATAAATGCTAAGCTAATAATCAAAAATTGACTGCAAAAAAATACGCCCCAAGCATTAATATTCCGCACTTTCTTCGAAAGTCGGAATAATGAAATAAAAGTTGCTAATGTAATAAGATTGGTTGATAAAAAAAACTTTATAATGATATTTAAAGGTATGTTAAGCATTAAGCAAAAAGATTTAACTACGAACGCATTTAACGTAAGCAAAAAAATTTGCTTGCACAAAAATATTTATATATGTTTATGGACAAATTTGAATTTGAAATTTGTTGGAAATCAGTTCAACTCATTCAAAAAAAATCTTAGAGTGTTACACTCAATTTCTATCGAAACAAAGGAATAAGATACAAGAAAGTTGATGGAAAAATCTTTTGGCCGCTTTAAATCTAAAACTTTAGATATAAGTTAAAGGTTTAACAAGGTCAAGGGATGATCTAATAAATACTCTGATTTAAAATGCGAAAGAGTCTAGTTTGAGTGGCAAGATGAGCGAAATTTTAATTAGTTAGTAAATTAGGCATAACCGACAAAAAATCGCCAAAAAATAACCGAACAGATCATGCCAAAAAAACTTCAAAGAATGAATAACAAAACAAAAAAATCAGAGTAATCAAACCAATTCTGAAAACTATTTCTGGTACCTGATTTGGTGTGAAAGGGTTTTTTAAAAAAACTAATGTGGTCGGCACAAACCACAAAATGGTTTAAAAAACCAAACTGGGTCGGAACGAAAAGTTTGGACTGGGTCGGAACAAAATTTTAGAATAAACTAAAGCACACACGAAGACAGAAGTGGTCGGCAAAAAACATGTGTCGTTAAAAATCTTATTTTCGATATACATTTTCGACATTTGACAAATGAGAAAAAAATTAGATGGAGCAAACCAACTTAAATTTTAAAACAAAGGCGAAGCTTTAACTTCGCAACAACTAGCGAGAAAACAACAAAAAGCACCTCTATAAAGTGCAATAAGAAAAAGTAGAATTAAGGCTCGAATTAGTAAAAATTCGGCTACATCTCGGATTCGAACCTACTACTTACTGCGACTTAAAAATTAAGAGTCTTACGCACTAACCGCTCAACCGCGAACGATTAATTAATACCAAGCACTAGCCACAAAGTTCAGCGGAACATTTTTTCTACTTTTTTTTTTCAATTTCATTTTCGAAAAGACGCTATGATAAAATGTTGAAGCCTAATTTAGCTGTGATTAAACTACGTTTTCACAATTTATTTCACTACCACATTATTATTTAAAGAAGCACCCTTTGTTACGACGGAACACATCGAATTTTGGTATCTTAGTTTCTTATCTTTTGTACGTAGTGTCAGTAATTTACCATTGGCGTACTCCATCTCGATGAGTAGCATGGGCTGCTCTGGGGGATACGAGTGGAAGTGGGTGAGGTACTGCACTATGTTGGGGTGGGGAGGGAGGGAGGAGAGGATCTCTACTTCGGAAAGAGCTGCCTGCTGCTGCTGGGTGTCCATGCCACTCAAATCCACCTCCTTCCAAACCACCAGACTGTTGTCCTAAACAGCAGCAACAATACTAACAAGGATTACCGGATGCTGTAGAAGTAGCACAGAATGTTCCGATCACATGAAACAAAAAACATAATAATAAACTTTTTTCTTCAAAGTGTCGTTTTTTGTGCATGGTGTGACGAAAGAACAATACAAATGAGTAAGCAGTTAGTGCATTAGGCTTAATCGACATCAGTTGTTTTCAAAAAAAAGAATTACAAACAAAATATGACACAGAGGTAAAGCAGAGCTTCGCACCACTTGCGATAGAAAATGAATGACTCTCACTACTTGCAAATGAAAACTTCAAATTTCCAAAATCTTGGAACTGAAATAACTGTATCTTTAAAAATTTTACGGAGAGGGGCGAAGCGAAGAATCGCGCTGCATGCATTAAAACACATACATCGCAGGACAAAATAACCGAAAAAAATAGAGATGAAAGCCGTAGAAAAAAACAATTGAAAAAATTGATATACCAAAAATTTTCCTAAATTTTTCTTGATTGTCTTGAATAAAAATTCCTTTCATAAAAATAAACCAAGAAGTAAAAAAAAATTGAATGTTAAATAAGCATCAAAACAAAACTTACAGAGCGGTATCATAGCCGATGATTCTTGAGCAGACACACGTTGCACCGAAAAAATTGTTTTTTTTTTTTAGAAAAACTTGTTAACTCAAAAAGTAGTTTTTTAAGTCCCCCTAAGCTTCGGTAAAAGTTTTTTGCTCCTGAAACTTCTCAAAAAGACCCTAAGTTGATATATTCTAAGCCGAAACGTTTTAAGCCAATAATAAAAAAAGAGGAAAAAGGAAAAAACTGATATACTGAAATCGGAGTAGGTAAACTTGCAACCAACATTAAAGTTTCGAATGGAACTGGCATTTAAAGTGCAGACATGCTGAAACACTGTCTGCTTTCAATCTTTCTGTTCATTGACGAAAGTAGAGATGACCAAAATTTCAGTCATTCTGAGAATAAAGTTATTTATGAGAAAAAAGTCTAGTACGCAATTGCAATACCTTTGCTTATCACACAAATTTTTCTGATTTTTTTTTGCTCAAAAACATTTTTAAAATTTTTTTGCCAAAGAAGCGCTATATGAAGCTTTTGAAAATAGTTTTTCTTTTAGGAAAACCCATTTTTTCCACTCTTAACGTGCATTTTCATATAAAGAGGTTACTCGATCGCTTTCCTCGCTCAAAAGTAAAATAATATTCAAAAACTTCAAACCAGTTTTTGAAAACACTGGATTTTTTTTTGAAAAATTTGTAATATTTGAATAACGTCTCAAAAAGCTTTGATATGATAGATCTCTCGACCCATTCTGATGATTATTTGTGGCAGCAGATTTAGCGTGAAAAACAAAAAAAACTAGAAAACTATAAAAAAAAAAACCGAATACAAATTTCGTCCCCTTTTTCAATAATCGGAACAATAATAGCTGATAACTACGTAATCACGACATCCCTCGCCATCATCAGAGTTTCCCTTTATTCGTCTTTTCTAGGGAAAAAATAAATTGAAGGTTGTGACAGAATCGGTTAAATGGCCAAAGACGGGATAATAATCGGTGCCACACTATAAAAAAAATTATATGAAAGAAGAATGCAATTGAAAACACGTGTAACTATAACGAACCATGAGCCATTTCGGAAAAACTACAATAATTTAGAGCTGATTCGGATTTCCAATATTCGTACCGAATTTATATCTCACAACAGATTTGGTGAGATTGCCTTGTCCTTAAAATGAACCTGAATGATTACAGAAGCCGAAACCTCAAATAATTTACACATGAAACTTGTTTTGAAAAGGTTATAACATAGCCAACTACCAGTTGGAAAAAAAGTAATGAACGCAAGGAATCTGAAAAAAACTGACTTGATTTTTCAAGAGCCTGCAACTTCTGAATTTCGAAGAAAAAAATAGATGGCCTTATAGCTCTTTGATATTGTAGAACTATTTATGATGGACTTTTTTTAATTAACCCAATTTGAGGAAACTGGATCAATACGTATAACTTTTATTTTGCTTGGAAATCTGATAATTAATTTCCATTTTCGAAATCAGAATTCGATCACGTTTTTCGTGATCCTTACACTTTTGCTGTTCGATAGTGGAGTTTGCCTTCCTTTGAACAACAGAAATGCACTAAGCCTGGAAAAGCACTGAAAAGAAATTGCAAATCAAACCGCAAAAAATCAAAACAGCGTGAACAAATTTTAAGACTTTTTCCGGAAAACAAAAAAAATCAGCAAGACCTATATAAGAGTACTCACTACGTTCATTACTCTTAATAACCTAACAACATGAATAGTATACTATAAAATAAAAATCAATTGGAATTTTAAAAGACGACCAGTTGAAACACGCTTTAACCTACTATTGTTTTGCGGTACAGAGTGGCTTCCCCGAATGCACCTTTGCCCAGGCATCTGATGGGCACATAGTTAGTGTCACTGTTACTCCTGAACTGCTCTTCTCCACCGTCAAATAACATCATCACAATTCACTCCACTTCATTTCAATTGGTTAATTTGTAGCTCTGGGAATCCGTATTATGAAAATAGACGAGGAATCCAAGAAGCCAGATTGTCGATCTCCATTCATTCAGTGATCATCACGCAATATTGAATTAAATCTGAAAAAAACAGCAGTCTTGTAATTCAAACCTTGAAATCGATATTCCAATTCCGGTCTACTAAAATCATTTTGAAATTTCGAGCGAAGATTCGATTTAAATTTAACAACAGAATTATTCTCTGATAGCTATTGAGTGAAAATTAGGAAAATAAGTTCTTAAGCTCGTGTCCGGCAGCGACAAATACAAACCGCGAATTTGTATCAACAAATTGAACAAAAAAGACTGCTCGTATCAGGGCTAAAATGTTTCGATTGTCCTTCTCAAAGTCTATTTATGGCAATTGACAGTTACATTGTATCAATTATTTCTCCATGAAATTTTCACATCAATTTTTGTACGAAGCCTTTTTGAGGATTACCTACGTCTGTAAATTCAAGGGAGCACCTAGCAACCCTTTGGTATCGTCAGCTGTGCTCTCATAGTTACTCATATTTATTTGTGTTATGTTCAATAGCGTATAATTGCTACGATGAGAAATTAATTATTCTTCTAATCATGAGATACATGATGTAAATTTTTCTGTAACCTTACCAGCAAAAAATGTCTGTACGTTAATACTTAATTCCAACCAGTTTTTAGCCATACCTAAATCTTAAAAAGTTATTTTTAATAGGATAGTTACATATAGCAGGAATTTGATAAACCCGGCCAAAACTGATTCGTAAATCTTTTCAATGAATGATAATCGCAGAACAACTGATCCCTGAGAAAGTAATAAAAGACAAATAATCATGGGTATTTATGATAAAATTAGGGACCGTTTTTCATATATAAGATAATTTCTGACCTATTTTTTGTCAAATAAATTCCAGCAAAAAAATCTGAAATCTTTTTTTTTCAAAATTTTAGAATTAATTTTTCATAATTTTGGTGCTTATTTGTTTCTCTTTCTAAGCAATTCTGAGATCATTATCTAAATCATTAAACAAAATCATTATGAGAACTGAGAAAGTAATAATTGCCCACTTACTGTTATCCTAATGCATTGGACACTAATTCAGGAATTAAAGCCCCTCACCTTGTTTTTTTAAATTATTTTATGTTTCTTAGAACTTTCGGAATACTTAAAATAAGAATATAATTAAGATTATGTTTTGTTCAATATTGCAGTATTGATTAAAAATTTGTTTTGAAAACGGGATAAACCCTTTTTTAATTAGTCCCTGGTCCTGCTCAGTGCAGGACCAACCTCGGGGAGGGAGATATCATCCATTTCGCCGCAGCCGGTCCCACGTTGAGGAGGCGGATGACACTGGGACCCATCTAACAGTGACCGACGTGTGATTCAAACGCATGGCCCACGTGTTGAGAGACGTGTGCCTAACCCAGTCGGCCACGGCTTCTCAACCCTCAATTTACCTTCAATGGGTACTCAATAAGCCTTACGTCTAACGACTTCAGGGTAATAACTTTGATGTTGTTATTTATTTTTCATAATTTGGGTGCTACTTTGTTGAAAGCGAAGCTTGCAAATGCACAAAATTTTTTTTTGATTAAATAAGTAAATCTTTTTCCTTTTCTCCTTACAGAGAAACGGATCACACTTCGGAGTCACAATCAAATTTAAAGAGAAACTCGAGCCGTCTATTTTTAATTAACGAATGAAAAATTTTTCTCGTCAACAAACGCATAAATGAGACCCAATAGGTTGCCTCAATTCAATGTGAAATGATATTCAGCCAGATTTAATCGCCGCCTACGCTAAGCGCTACTAGAAATTTGGTAAGAAGGACACACTGATTGGTCAAATTGGCAATTTTCAAATCTTTATCTCTTGAAGAAAAATGCTCACACTGGAAACATATTTTTGATATTCGAGTCCAGGATATCAATACCTTTCAGATTGCATAAAACTACAAAAACCCAAAGATCCTCAGCATCGATTTAATTTATCGATAGATCATATGCATATACTATAATAAAAATCTGACAATGAACTCAAAAAAGTGTGAAACAATTTGAAAAAAACTAAGTCCCAAACCGCATTTCCTCTAGGCCAAAAGTGAAGGAGTCTCGAGATTGCTTATGCTCACAAACAAAACTTCACAATTTCTTATAGATTTGTAAAAAAAAGGTTTGAGAAAAAAACCTAGTTCCCCATTACAAGACACTTGGTCTCTTAAAAGAAAACAAAAAATTCAAGAACGCAAACTACCTTGCCATGAGCGCAAATTAATTCTATTAACCGGTGATACCACCGTTGAATTAAAAATTCCGTAATTCGGTTTATTGATCGGATAATTTACTGATACTTAGAATTAATCAACGCACCCCCAATCGAAAGATTCAGTGATTCTTTTAGACAAACTATTTACATTGAAAAAGTAGTCTTTTTCGATTTGATAACGCTTAAAATCTTTTCTTCGATTCGGTAACGCTCGTTGATCTCAAAAATAAGAATCCTTCCCTTCAAAAAGAACGCGACAAAGTGGGTAAAATAAGCCTGCAATTTGGAGAGACTAATAAAAAATATTCATTCATCGTCCAACCTTTGTTTGATTCAATTCAACCCTTTTTTTCTGGCTACTAATTTGTTGCGTTTCAAACACGTGAATGTTTTTATTCAGGAGTCTTTATTTGCACACAATTCACACACCTAGGAGAAACATCAGATGGGATCGTCAGATGGAAGTTATATTCCTCATTAAAGACGAAAAAAATCAACTTTTTGAAAAAATATTTGTGAAGAAATTCGAAACATAGTGATTTGAATTTTTATCGCTTTTCAGGTTTTTCTCTCTCCCAGACTATTTATCGTTTTCAGATTTTCCTCTTTTTTCCTCTCTTACTGTGGTGGAGACCGTGAATTGTCTTCTATTAGATTATTTAACTTGACCGTGCCTTTGAAGGAACAAAAACACCGAAACTTGAAAAATTAAAATGAGAGAAGAATGAGACTTTTTACTAAAAACCTTACTGCGAGAAATAAAGACTATCTTTATTCATTTTGGCTTAAAGTTAAATGCAGTAAAAAAAATTTCTGGTAAAACAAGCTAAATGTTGCAATGCAAATGTAGAGTATAGAATGTAGAGTATAGATGCATATAAAACAATAGTATAAATGCATAAAACTGAACCAAAATGTAACAACAAGCACAGTTGGCCGAGTGGCCTAAGCTAACGCCGATTATATAGGTTAACAGTTGACGTAGGTTCGAGTCCCCCACCTGCCCATGTATTAATATACTAAAAACGGGGGTTACATCCTATTTTAACTGTTTTTTGGTTCTAATTCGGTTCAGCCTTGATTAAGGTTGACCGCCAAAAAGAGCAATTTGTCTCAAGGACATTACCGACCGGTCCTTGTGGCTAGCTTGCGCCGATTTGTACCAAAAACGCTCAGATGCAAAAAATGTTGTATGATGTCCTGATCAATAGAAAAATACCGAAATTTATCTATTGCTTGAGTTATTTACCGATAAATATCTCTCATTAATTTACGAATTTGGATTCAATTATTTTCGTTTGGAGATTAGCGAGCATATTTTGGCTCCCCACAAGGGACCTAATAAATATTGAATGAAGTTATATCCCGGTTACAAACTGAGGTGGTGAAGCTTTTGTTGAGTGGCATCCCGATTGAACAGCTGAGTGAGGAGAAAGCTGCTGCAGACTCTACTTCTCCTTCATCTGTCCGGCCCTTAGAGCACTTATTCCTACAGCCCGCGGCTTGATCAACTTAGGCGCTCTTGCTGATTTTTGAGACACCCAATGGATGGTACCCGAATTTTCTTGGTAGTCTGATGGACAGGAAGTTGGAGTAGACGAAGTATTATTTGCCACAACCTATCCTGAGTTCCTGGAACTGAGACCTTCATGCAGATATACTGAATTGAGGAAATGGAGGCCTACTAACAGGTGTCGTGTTCAGTCCTGCTCGTGACTGGTTTGTGACAACTCTCAACCGGTGCCGCTAATCACCTACTTCTACATTAACTGTGTCGTGTTCTGTCGTGATCGTGACTGGTTTGTGACAACCCTCAACCGGTGCCGTCCAATCTCCAATTAAAACTGTAAGAAGTTTCCAAAACTTTTAAAACTCCAATTGTGCTATAAATTTAAATACGATGTCATTTATGATAGAAATTTTCCCGCAAGCTAGCCCCCGGTAATTTTTCTCAATACCCAAAAATTTTGGACAGTTCCGTTGAACTGAAATATCTTAGTCGGTACATAGACAAACTGACTTGACATTTTTTTCTCGATACCAAAAATTTTTGGATATATGTGAACGGAATATTAATCAGTGAAATCGGAACATAGACAAGAGGTACTGGACTAGTTTTTTGGGTTGGTTTATGACTCGAACCTGCTGACCAAAATTTTCTGAAAAATTTTGTATAAAAAGTAAAAAATTGCCAAAAATTCCTCAAAACGTCTCCAGAATTCTGCGAAACTGTGCTGTAAGATGACACCAACCTTATGTTAAGTGGTCTGGTAGCGAAATATCAGGCAAATTAAGTTGAGTTTTTTCATCCTCAGGTTTCTTCCGCGTGTGTTGTTGGAACTTAACCAATTTGCCTGATCCCCCACCCACCATTGGTGAAACTGAAAGCCAGTTCGCTTCGAGTAAAACAAAGCCGTTTCAGCCCGTCAGATTATTGACTTCGTTGCGTGACAGTAAAGTTAAGTGGTCAGGTACGGTGATATTAAGTGAGTTAAGTTGAATTCTTTCATCCTCAGGTTTACTCCGTGTGTGTTGTTGGAGTTCAACCGACCTACTTAATTTTCCAACCCCATTGGTACTTAAGCGTAACGAAGCCGTCGCATAGGTCCCCCAAGTGTATGGTATTCATCCTAGGAGCTAGTTCTTTGGATCACGCGCTCCGAAAACTTCCCGCTCCGTCCCAGAAGCGCGTCAAAGATACTTGCTTTACGAAGCCAGGTTTAAGTTTGAACTTTAACGCTAGGGACTCTCAGAAAACGATACAGTACTACCTTCATCACTACTTGTCGCACCGTAACGACCTTGTAATTTGGCACGACGCCATTA